ATCCTCTGCCCGTACAAATCTCTCTGAACCACTTTTGTCTAAGTTAAAAAAGCAATTGAACTCTTTGCATGCGTCTGAAGCTGGGAAGAATATTAAGTCATCTCATCTCCCTTGCCCGTGAAGCTACAGTAGTGTCGTGGCTTGCTATATATTTGCATCTCCTCTTACGCCCATGAATGCGTCTGAATCGTCCGAGCTTTACTTATACATTTTGCATCTCCTCTTATGCCAGTAGCCCATGAATGCGTCTGAGTCCTCCGCATGTTGAGCTTGTGTTCCCACTTCATGTATTCAGACTTCTCTCTTCTCTCTCATCATCCTACTCTCTCGTTTTATTAGTTGCTCCAGCCTCCTCCATTCTTTTGCTGTCTTGTTTCTCTACTCTTACTTGCAAACATTCGACACATACTTTTACTACTGTTGAGGCCCTGAGGGTATGTTATTTCTCTTATGTATTTTTTATTTTGTCATTATAATATTTAATTTGATTTTCTTCTTTTTTTTTATTTGATAAACTATTATTTTAAATCTCTAGGTGCTAAGTGGTGGGTTGAACAATTTCAAAAATCTATACTCTTAGGTGCCTCTTATTTTGCCGGTAAGAATCCTCTATTATATAGTTTTAAGATCTCAAGATTTTGTTTTGATCTCTATTACCCATTTAGTCTTATTTATAAGGTATTTTTAGTATATTTCACACAGATTAGAAAACCGTTGAAATAATTTCACATCCACCATCTCATAATTTGATTATAAAAGTAACACTAATCAAGCACAAAAATGTATATTTTCATCAAGTATTTTTTTTCCAAGTGTCAGATCTGTTATGCATGAAAAGAACTAATGGCATAGGAAAAAAAAGAGAGTAGAAGAGGTGAATAAGAACAGGAATGAGTAGGGGAGAGTGGAAAAGATGAATAGAGAGAGAGAGATAGAAGAAGTGGAACATGCGGGAATAATAGCATAAGAAGAAGACAAAATTGAAGGACATTTAGCATTGGATAAAGGAGTGAAGAAAATGTACCAACTGTGCAAATAATTTAATAAGGATAATTATGTATGTTTGTATTAAAAATTATATCAAGTGCTTTATATATAGGATCAAAATTTATACTCTCTCTGTCTTATAAATAAAACTAGAGGAGTATCTTTTAAGTATATGATTTTTTTGGAAATAAATATATAAGAAAAAAATTCATAGCTTTAACTTTTTTCCCCATATTATTCCTTATTTGCTATCAATTTTCATAATTTTTTTTGTTTTACTCGATCTTGATAGGTGGGTATTAAAGTAACTAACAATTAAAAAATTATTAAAATAAATGAAAATTTTAGATATAAAAATAAATCTGAATAATTTTATTCATTTAATTATTTATTGTTTTAAAAAACTGAGGTTAAGAAAAATAATTATAAAAATTTAAATTGTATTTAATGAAATCAAGTAAAATATGTTTATTTACATTTAAACATATTTATAATATATATATATATGGGTAAAACAATTTATAAAATTAAAAGTAACGAAAGAGATGTTTGAAAAAAAGAGAAAATTTCAATTGGAATAAAATAAAGACCGATAAAATTTAACTATTCGCTAAGGGTGTTCATGTAGATGAATAATTTCATTTCATTGTATTTAAATATGTAAGATATTTTAGCTTAATAATAAATGATTTTGATTTGTTTTCAATAAATTTTGTTATAAATATTGATAAGAAAAAGATTATAAATTTTTTTAGTACAAATTAGGGAGATAATAAAAAAGATCTATTCAATGGAAGCATGATAAGAAAAAATGTAGGGATTTAGTTAAGGGTACTTTAATATTTTTAAACTTATATTTTAGTATTTGGTCCTTATAAATAATTATAATTTTTAAGATCCTTCTCAATAAATATTATTTTTCTAGGTCCTTCCCCCTAATTTTTTCTTAAAATAATATAATTTTTACCTATTTAGTAAATATTTTGGATACAATAATGAGAATAAAATATAATATAAAGGTAAATTTTTATTAATAAGAAAATAGGTGGCAATATTTTGTTAAACTTTTTTCATTAATAAAAATGAATATCATAAAAAATTTAATTTTTAAGCATCTATAATACATAGATTTGATATTACTTTTAAAACTATTAGAAATTTAATTAAAAGGTACGGAATGAATCAAAATAGAATTATAATACATATATAAATATGAATAGTTTTTTTAGCACTAGATTTAAACCTATGTGAACTATGCATGAGAAACCATGATTTGTGAGTCTTTCTATTTTCAAAGTTTTGTCTTCTCCTAGTTGTACTTAATTAATGATTATAATGCAATATTTAGGAAATAGATAGAAGTGGGAACACAAGCTCAACATGCGGAGGACTCAAACGCATTCATGGGCTACTGGCATAAGAGGAGATGCAAAATGTATAAGTAAAGCTCGGACGATTCAGACGCATTCATGGGTGTAAGAGATGCAAAATTTATAGTAAGCCACGACGCTACTGTAGCTTCACGGGCAAGGGAGATGAGATGACTTAATATTCTTCCTAGCTTCAGACGCATGCAAAGAGTTTAATTGCTTTTTTGACTTAGACAAAAGTGGTTATGAGAGATTCGTACAGGAAGAAGATGCTCATATGCATGGAAATGGAGAGAAAAGGACAAAAGTACTTTTTTCTGAAGTTCATCACTCAAAGATGAACTTTACAAATTCATCTCTACCAGATGAATTTGCAAATTTGCCCACTTTATTGAAGAACTCGTTTTGGGCAAGATAAAGTTTATAAATTCATTTTCTGGTGATAAATTTCAAGTGTAGCATTTCAGTAATATCTTTTCGTGCTGTAGCATTTTGGTATTTTATTTCACTGTTCATAGCATTTTGGTAAAAATCCCGCATTACCTCCTCCTTTCCTTTGGTTTCTTTGCCATCAATAATATTTATTCGAGGATTTGGATGCATTGAGTTCCGTGATGATGAGCGAGCGACCTCCTCTTCATCTTTTATCTCCTTCTAGTGCATGGCTAATGTATAACAATAGTGTCCCTAATCTACAAGTTGCTAGCTTTGAGGAAAAATCAATAATGTTGAAGAAACCAAAGAAAAGGATAGTGGATGAGGTGGATGGGATGAGAGAGCAACTCTGACACCATTGAGGTGCAGTGACAGAGGAGGCCATTAAACGATCTTGTCGATGTGCGTTGGGATTGTTAGATACATGGTTAATAATGATTCACTTAATGGTTGTGACATTTTTATATTATTTTAAAAATTTATGTGTATTTTTTAAAATTATTTTCTTGATTGATGTGTTTTTTAAACGGTGAACGTTGGCTGATTTCATGGGTGACTGCAAATCTTGAAATCTTCATGTATCAAGGGAGTTAAACTTTGAAATGTAAAATCGTTATATCAATTGAATCAGGAGAATTTTATATAATATAGCCTAAAAATGTTTAATTTATGAATAGGCATAAAAGACAAAAACAAAAACAGACATGCTTCCTATATTTATTTCATTCTCCTACAGGGCGCAAAAATCACTAATCCAAATAAAACAAATAAAAAAAGAGAATAAATACACAATACACTGTCACGTACACATTCACTCATCAATAAGCAATCAACATGATGATGGATTGAGAAAGCAAAAGAATACAAACCAGCTTTGAAGCTTAAGCTTAGAAAATGAGAAGAGAAGTCAAAAAATATACACCAATTATGAAGGTCACAAGGTGACAGTCAATTGATTTCAACTGTGTGACAACAGTTTGTTGGGGTGTGGGCACACAGCAAATTAGGGCATCGAAAAATCAAGAGGACAAGAAAGAAATTAAAATATTTTACTTAGATTAATTTTTAAATACAAAATTTTATCCCTCATCTCCCTTCTAAAAAACCCTATTTTTGGTGGGGAGTAGAGAGCAACTTCCCACCCCTCCCTTCCAAAAACCCCGTTAAAAACATAGTGTGAAAAAATGACTCCATGATATAATCATAAGAATAGTTAATACTTATCCAGTTCTTAATATAAGATTTATTTAACTAATTTGTTTATATTAAGAAAATTAGGTAAGTTAGTTAATTATAACAAATATGACATGTTTTTTTCTAAAACACTATAATAATCTTCCTTAATATTCTCTCTCCCTCTTCTACTTAATCATGGTTAAAGGAGATCCACAGGAATAATTTACAAAAAATTGATAAATACAATAAATAGATTTTATATTTAGGATCAAAATCAACTCAATAATTAGGTCTTATATTAAGGACAGGAGGAGTATATGGTTATTACAATATCTTGAGAAAAACATTTATGAATTCAGGAGACAAATTAAAATAGCCATTGCATATTTCAGCATCAGATTTCAACGTAGCTTTACTTGTCGGTATGTTTCTGGAGATTTCAAGCATGAAGATCACTTCCACATTCAGATTCAAGGTTTTCAGAACACTAACAGTGTCTTTCACAAGGTTTTGTTTTACCTTGTAAACGACTAAGACAGAAGCTTTCAACAAAGTCTTCCAAGAGGAGAAAACAGTCAAAACCTATTCAACATCAATCCTTGCGGTCAGAATATTCGATTGCTAGGGTCAGATATTATATGTTTTGTTCAAATTCATCCATTATTTGCAGACCTAAATGCTCATATTATTCCCCTTTTACAAAGAAATCAGCCTCGTCTCAGACATTACAAAAACCACTTTTCATTTTTTGTTTTTGATAAAAAGATCAATATACCAAAAAGGATGTTACATCACAATAGTTCCTATAACATTCAAAGGGGAGGGGGATTTCACTAAAGCATAGTCATTCACAGTTCTAATACTGTAAAAAAACAGAAGATTTTAGAAGGACTTGGATGTCCTCAAGAAGCAGAATCAATTTTCACTAGTCACCAAACAACCACATATCCTAGAATCAAAATCAACAATAGCACTATATTATTTGATCAGTTAGGTGTTCACCTATCCAAGACCAAGATAATTTGACAGTCATAGGAATCAAAAGATGCTATCCTACAATTCAAACAAATAAGCAATATAATCCAAAAATATTTTTGCAACATTTATTCATACTTACAGGAATTTGTTTCCCACTATTTGACTTTTTTATTCTAATTTTGCCTGAGAAAAGAGAAGCTTGAACCTAATAACTTATCATGCCACTCAACACACGGAACTTGAACTTATTATTCTATTCAACCTTATTTTTACAAGTAAAAAGATAACATAAATATAGAAGACTGCAAAAGAGGGGGCAACGCTAGGATCATATAAAACAAACTAATCTACAACATTCTTAAGATGCCTTCTGAGCAGAAATCGAAGGTCTTCTTCTTCTTCTTCCTCCTCCTCCTCCTCCTTTGTTTCTTTTTAAATTTAATTTTATATTTTGTTTAGGCCTATGAAGATCTCCTTCACCACAGGGATTAAGAGAGAGATTCTCAGTAAAATGCAGAGAAAAAATGCATTAGCATCTGGATTGAAGCCACCTGATTTAACCTTAGCTCTCTCTGTAATCATCTGCAAAGAAATTGAACGATCATGAAGTCTATGGATGCTAGAATACTATTATTTTAACATGGGTCAGTCACATATAAACAAGATTGATGATATAAAAGTTAAAAAACTGCTGTGGGCTTCCAGCATGTTGCAACAAATTTAGGATTATCCAAACACCAAGAGAATTTAAAGTAATGTCATCTTCACATTGGGATCTCAGGTAAGTAGTAGTATGCGAAGAGGCTTGGTGTCATTCAAGACGCTGAAAAGTATAGAGGGACAAAAAGTTAAGAAGCATCTCATAGCCGACATCACTTAATAACCTATAGGACCCCACATTCCTGACCCTCAATTTCATTAAAATTGATAACAATAACACTCGTATCATTTCTATGACAATTTTTCAAATTTCATACCAAATATTAGAATCTTATACACCATCATATTTTATACCTTGGCATCCAAATTACCAAACAATTTGACAATATTATAACAAAAGTTTTGATCTAAACATATTGGCTAGTAATGCCGCTCAATTGCACATACCATAGTATTGTATCTTTTCTGAGAAACGATAAACTGTTCTGCATGGCATAAATCTCGTATACAAAACTCACTTAGTAGTCGTAGAAGTATGATTCCTTTGTACAGTCGTGTGCTTAACATTGCTTTGAGCAGGAGACACCTTTCTTCGGATCTCGATTGGCATAGAAGTCATAATCGTCTAGCAAAGATGTTTTTGCTAAGTACCTCTTGAAAATATTGAGCATTTCTATGCCTTGCTTTAGTCCAACCTACAATTCATATAATGAAAGCAATATATGTTTTTCAGGCCATATGCAAACAAAATACTGAAGCATCATAACTAAAATTGCCTTTGATTCATCACAAACTTCCATCTAAAGTGAAGTTTAGTATCCTTCAACTAGTTATCAGCATCCAAAGGAAAATATCTGAATGAAATTACTTTATACTAGTATATACAAAAGATAGAACTTAGAAGATCCTTACATCGTAGCATAATCCGCTTTATCTACGTGACTGGAAAAAAATTGATTGCAGATGTTTTTAATTAATCTCGAAAAGGCCTTCTGCTTTTGCTACCAATATTATCATTACAGTTTCTCAAAATATTCTGAAGTTACCATATCAAATATTCCTCGGCACCATGATTACCAGTTTAATGTACTAAAATATTTTCAACTCATAAGTTTCCCCTTTTCCTAACTAATATGTTTAACTGTTCCCATCTCACTAAATAAAACGTGTGTGGGTCAGTGTGTAGGAAGCAATCATAACATCAGAAAGAGAGTGATATAGTAATTTATATTTTGGTCCAAAAATGACAGAATGCACCATGAAAACATTCAAATGTGCACTATAATAATATTAAAAGCAAAAGCTACCTCTTGTGTATCCCTACTGTAAGTCACAGGCTGGTTATCATTGTTTGGAAGTATAATGTACCGAAACTGGGTGTTGGGTACGTCCTTAATTATGTGCCACCTGATTGGGAAGAAACCATAGTATTTTTTCCCTTTCCAGAACCTCATGTCTTTGTTGAAATCTACTGGTCCAATCATCTCAGCTACTCCAACGAACTGTCCACTACCATTGACCTGATTTGACAATTAATGACACTTCATCAGTTAAATTTTCTAAGGTAGACCTGATCAATAAAAAAGAGAAGCAGTAGACCAAGTCACTGATTTAAAAAATATATATACAGGTAAGTTGAACATGCGTCTTAAAAGGTGTATTGACATACTTCCACGTCTCTTCACAAGGGCTGCTTGTCTCTTGTAAACTGATTATACTTGACATTTTTTTCATAGACAATTAAAGACAACACTTTCAGAAAATGTATTGTGTAACAAGTACCATGAAAGGAAAATAAAAACATGAAAGAAACATAACAGCAAGCTTTATCCTACTAGGTGGAGTTGACTAAATGGATCGCATGACTATATTGTGCTCTATAAAAATCAAATATTTGAACAAACTGTTAACAAAAAGATCCCGTTCAAACTCAATAACTTCATTGAGTGTTCTCTTTAGATAGAAACACATATTTAGTGACTTTTAAATTTAACAGTAAAACATTACCTAAATGATCATAGTCATTAAAGGGAGTGGATTATTACTTCTTTCTCAAGGAAGCAAAATCCAGGAGAGAACTTAAAGAAAGACATTCCTAAGAAAGATTAAGATCCATAATTCATATCATAGAAGTTTCCTTACTGTCTGTATATGATGAATTAATTTTCAAGTAACACCCACAATAACATAAGCATCCAACATGATAAGATTATTTGAATCCTATTCAAGAGCAGAGATTTCATATTGAAAAATATGAACTTTCCGGGCACACCTACAACAGCTTCTGTTCAATATAGCACTTTCAACACATTTGGATATCATATGCTGCCCAAGATAAAAATAAAGCAGTAATTCCACAAATTTTGATAGACCATGATTATAACAAAACAAATAAAATTAGAGACAATTCAGTGATAAGGATTTCAACTTACAGAGAAGAAGAGGAATACTGGGCACTTCTTTCCTGTCTCACTTGATTTAGCTTCAGCATCTAGGAAAGCTGCGTTCAGCTTCTTATTTCCATATGAAGTACTTGTCCAAACATTATATTTAATGGACTTGTGGATATCATCTTCATTAAAAGATTTAATCACATAGAAATTAGCATTTTCATATTGAGTCCGAAATTCAGGAAGGTTATATTTATCTCTAGAGACTGTAAAACTAAACGTTTGCTTAGCAGATGATGGCTCTGATTGAAAGTTCCTATCATAACACCTAGGACCACGAATTAGTTCTGCTGACATTTCAGGTTCATTGCTCCAACTTAATTTGTCTTTTGACATAGTTTTGTCACTCATACTCAGGTCTCTCCTAGTTAGCTGGGAATCACGAGGGAGAATAACAGGTTTTTGGTCAGCTAATGCAAGAGCACTAGGTAATTCTGGTGACTTTTCAAGCTTTGCATTCCAATTTAATTTGTCTCTTGACATGGGTCTACTCTGTGCTCTCCTAGTTGGCTGGCAGCCAGTAGGGGGATGTACATTTCGTTGTTGGCTAGCTAATAAATGGCCATGAGTTAGTTCTCGTGACTTTTCATGTCCTGGGTTGCAGGTTAATTTATCTCTTACCACGGGTTTGTCATCTATACTCTGTGTCCTTCCATTTTGGCGGGAGTTAGTAGGGGGTAAGACAGGTTGTTTTTGCCTGGCCATTGAAGTTGATTTTCCTACGGGGTTGTGAACCCTTGGCGTGCCAACTACAGAGAAGTTAAATTCCAAATGAGGCACCTGCAGCATAAAATATTGACATCAAAACACCAATGTTTGAGAGGAAGTCCTTGCCCCCCCCCCCCCGGGGTGTTTATGTATAATGCAATTGATGTACATTGTTTCTACTATATAAATAGGAAGAATGAATGGAGAGTGACAAATAAAATACTAAATACGCTATGATAAAGTATTTGCATCCTTCATAAATCATGTGAACTAATAAGCTGGGAGGTAGGCAAGCCAATAATGACTGCAGTAATTTGGTAAATAGTTATTACAAATGATGCGGTAGAATAAATATCCCACAAAGTGAAACAACAGATCACCTTCGTTATTATTTTCTTCATTTTTGTATCAGGCGTGGACTTGGGAGATTCACCAGTCAAGTTGTCATTTGTTTCACCTGACTTCAGATCATTCACGTTTTCTGAAGTAGGAGATTTTGGACTGCTTTTTGCAGTCGAGACGTCATCAGTTGTTCCATTTTGGACATCATCAGAAATTGAGATCTGCGAATCGCAAGGCAGCATTTCTGTTGCAAGGTCAACAGATGGTTGAACACATCCTGTGGAAGGACAAGCATGGTGTTTGAAGATAACATGCACTACTATCCAAAAGATTCACATAATTATACAAGTTGTAGGCAGGTATCTATAAGCATTGTCTGTTCACATACCCTGCGGCCAAAACAAGGGGCAAATGTTAATTAAAAATACTGATATTGGCAGACGGCCATGCTTGCTACATTTAAAGTTTCCAGAAGTTAAATGATCAAGGTAAATAATTGAAACATACTTCATCAGGGCAATTTGCATCAACAATCGAATCAGCTTGCATCTCATCAAATGCTGCAAAATAGTGAAGTAACATGAGACTTTCCTCCATTAAAATACACAATATCTTCCATATGGTTGTTATTAATAAAATGATACTCAAAGCCTTTGCATCAAACCACAATCATCAAGGATGTGAAGAAAATCTAAGTTCACTAACATATCTGTTAATGATATAGAGCGGGACCTTTTATTCAGTATTGACTAGAAAGTGCCAGTACTATGAACCAGAAGATTTCGTCTTATTTTTCTTCTAACTCCTACTCCTAGCCAATCCAGTATCCACAGATTAAGATTGCTTTGTTTCCACTATTTTAATATGTTTACCAATGATAAATGGTTAGGGACTTGAGATGCATAGAAAAAGCATTACTTAACAGGTTCATTTACTTTATAAAGATCAAACAACAGCAGCTGAACTAAGCCAGTTGATTATATTTTCAGAATAAAATATAAATGAATCTTTGTATCTCAGATTCTAGTAAAATTATACTACAGTACCTTTTGACTGGTGATTGCAAGAGATCAATTAGAACATTGAATCTCTACGTTATTCCAGCCAATTAACATACAAGCAAATCCTACCATCTCTTTTACTCTTAATAGAGCCCGTCTGAATTCAGAAATGCTAGTTTTCCTAGCTTTATTATTGGTTCCAATTACTTAAAGATATATAATACCACAAACCTCTCCTCCACCGGTAATCTAAAAAGGAACAACGAAATGCATCTGTATTAGATACAGCTACCAGTCACTATGGCATTTGTTTGAGTTAAAGTATGTTATAAACAATAAAATTAGCATAAAACCATTTAAAAAATACAACACACCCAAGAAATTAGGAGAAAAGCAAGATAAATTTGATTTAGGGGGTGTTTGGCAATATGAAAACCATGGTTTCAGAAGCATTTTTCCGCAAAACGAGGCAAATTCCTCCACATATTTATTTCGTAAATCGTAAAAGCACTTTTGAAACCATGGTTTGGTTTCTATTCAAACACCCCCTTAGCAATTTATAGAGAAGTCCATTGAAACTGAAGTTTATGGTACTTAAGATGCAGTAAAACCATCAACTACATGAAATGCTTACAATCAATGATCTTAAGACAATTACTCACATTCAAAAGGTGTAACAAGCACACATCACCACAAAACCCAAACACAAGACCATTTAGATACTTAAGCATAAGCGGCATGCATCTCAATGTCAATTCTGATTCCAACACTGTGTTGAATTGTCAGTTTTCAGGTATAAGGCATAGAAAGAGATAGGAAACCACGGTATCACTCCAAAACATGAATTAAACACTCAATTTTAAACACTTTTATCAATAATGCACCAATAAGGAAAATTACGTAGCTGCATAGCTTTTCATCACATGACTCAATGCTCGAAAGCATAAGGGTTAATCAAAATTATCAGTGATACAGCATATCCAAATCTGTATACGGGTATAAAGCATATGTAAATATCATATATCTCATGAAGCTATTAGAAGAATGAAATATCATAGCCCCAGAAAAAACAAAATCAAAATCAAAATATAAATATTGCATCGCAAAAGAAAAATAAAATTAAAAGAAACACGATCCATAAGACAAATCAGTAATAAAGGAGCCGTTTCACATCCCTCAATGGCCATAAAATCATCTCCTCCACCTTTAGCTACAACTGAAACACCTGAAAATACACATAGCATAAGAAATTTACCCACTTAATCTAGTTGGTTGATGCATCACCTAAACTACTAAGGATCTGCTTGGTTCTGCATTTGCTAAAATTATGATTTGGGGTAGAATCGACGCTGCAAACTTGGTTTTAGGCAAAACTAAGGTTTGCCGAAACCGAGCTAGCCAAAAACAGGTAAATGTGCTTCTTTCCTAGCAATAGTTTTAGCATGGTTTGGGAAAAAATGCACTGATTGGTTTTAAACTTCCCAATCTTGGTTTTGGAAATTGTGCTATTTTAGTAACCACTCTCGACAAAATGTGGCTTGGACTTTGAGACCAAGATTTTCAGCTTCCCAATGTTTTTCCAAACCGGCACTAAAAATCTACTCCCTCCATTCCTTGTTATATGAAACAACCACGACGTATATTTTTTCCTATGTATAAGAGATATTTAGAGGATGTTTTCTTTGTTAATTCACCGTTTTGTCCCCATTTAATTATTTATTTAATATCAATATATTTATTATCACACGACCTCGAAGCATCATTCCCTCTTTCACTCACATTCTCTCCCTTCCACAATCCTCTTTAATCTAGCAATTTCCTCATCCTCTCTCTTATACCATCTCTCCCCCACAAATAAAGGTATTTTTGAGAAAAAAATGAAAGTCACAGGTTTTACATGTTGACTTTTTTTTTTTATACCACATGTTGATTTTTCTAACAAATTTTAACCAATTTTTTTTAATCAAACCTGACTCGATTAAATGTCTCTTAAAAAAAAAAACAGAGTATTAACCAACTTCTGATCAGTATGCATCCTTTTTTATGTGAAAAGAATAATAGGACCAAAAGAGTGTGGAATCATAATCTAGTTATGTGATAGTTTTGAAGACTGTATTTTTACACGAGGTTCATAAGAGAATTAAACAAACAACAAACACAAAACAGAGAGACCTGTGTCCAAAACAGAGCCAGAAACAGAATTGGATTTTTCACTCATACAACAGAGCAGGAAACATATACAGTTTTATATCTATCCTGTCAGGGAGAAATAGATGGATGAATTCTGGCAGTAAAATCATTAAGAAAACAAGTGAAAGCATCATGAAGCTCAAATTACCTTTAAGATGAAACTCCAGAGATTACTCCTGACAGAATCTAGACACCTTCCAAATCCAATTCAGGTGAAGGTGGAGAGACTAAGCATATAATTTTTGGGGCAAGAAAACAGAGAGAGAAAGAGAGATAGAGCGAGGACTGAAAAGAGATGGAATAGAATACCAAGCAGATCGACGAAGCGAGACTGAGAGGAAAGCAAGGAGAGAATCGAGGGAGATATGAAAGCCGTCGAGGTTCCAGGAGACGGGGGCACGTAGACGTAGGGCTGTGAGAAGAAAGGAGAAGGGGAATTGGGGGCTGTCAGTCAGTTGCCGTTGATGTTTAAACGGAAATTATTATTGTTTGGTACGTTTGTCAGTCTCTCTCTCTCTCTCTCTCTGTATGTATACATATATTCCCTCCATCCTGTCCAATCAATCACTACAAAAAAGAAAAATAACTCCTCTAAATAACTAAAAAAGGCTAAATAATTAATTTTTATATATTTAAAAATTAAATAAGTTAATTATTTATCATAAATGTATGTTTTTTTAAAAAAATTATTCCATCAATCACGTCTATTAAAGTTACCTTGATAAAAACTTCTGAACAATTACCATAAAAATTATTTGAAGACAAAATAGACAAATATTAAAAATAAAGTAAAATAAAATCTTATACTTAGAATTAAATTAAATTTTTAGTTAACTTTTATATTTAGAAATTAAATTTATCTTAGATTAATTTTTTCTCTAAATTTATTCATGTTAATTGAGATTGTGTCGTGTGTCCAGGATTCACAAGGAATTTTTCAATTTAATTATTTTTCAATTTTATTTTTATTTAATGCTCCCTCCAGTATTTAATATTATAGTTATTTAATTAATTTGGGTGGATTAAAAGAATTATATAAATCACTTAATTATAATAAATATAACATGATCTCTTTAAAATATTCTCATATAATATTAGATTATATATAAATTTATAAATTATATAAATTATTTTTAAAAAATAATAAATATAAGAGATAAAATGGATTGAGATATTATATTTAGAACAATCAAATTCAACATATAATTAACTCTTATATTAAAAATAAAAAATTATATATTTTTAATGACTTGGTAGACAAATATAACTAAAGAATATAATTATATTTAATAAAAATATTAATGATATGATATATTAAAATGTTAAAAATAACTTTTCAATTAGAATTTATAAAAAATATGTAAAACAAATTTTGTTTGGATGTTATGAGTATTTATATTACCCGGTCCACGCATGCATAAAATATACGCCTGTCTTTCTCTCACCTCAATGAATATTAAAGGCGGAGGAGTTAGTGAGATATTTTTCTAAATATCAATAAATATTTCATTATGTCATATCATTAATATTATTTATCCAGCAAGTCATTAAATATAGAATATCTACAAGTTCTGATTTTAATATAAAAATTAGTCAGATATTGAATTTGATTATTATAAATCATATCTCAGTCCATCTTATTCCTCATACTTATCATTTTTTCAAACTAATTTTATATAATTTATAAATTTATATATAATATATTGAAGAGATCATGTTATATTTATTATATTAAAGTCATAAAATTTTTGTTTGTGGTATTCGCAGCATTCTTAACTCTGCACAGAACTAGGCAATCTTCTTAAGAAAGTTTAAAATTCGAAGGCATACCTCCTATGTTGTTATTGTTTTCCTTGGCCATGATGAAACCCAAACATTTAAGTTAGTGAAACGACAATCTTCTGATCCTCTTCTTTTTTGCAACTCCTCTGTAAAACTTGTGTTGTGTTGAATTATTAAAGTGGTACCAGTTTTTCTATGCATCCTAAATTACATTAATGTTGTCTCTTACAAGAAGAATTTACTCAATGATCAACTCCGTTGCTCTCATCCTAATGGTATCCTGAAAAAGGATATCAACACGCTATTACAGTCTTTTTTTAATTACTTTTTTCACAAAAATGATGTTATTAGTTCCTCATTCTCTAACATCTTCAATACCTAACTTAGCAGTACTCCTCTAATCATAAATATAAGACTCATTTTGTAATATAAATTAGATTATAAAATGAATTTTAAACCTATATTTAGGACGGGGAGTATCACTCCTTTCATTTTATAAAATTAATCTTTTTATCCAAAAAAAAAGCAGAGGAGTGGGTTCCCCGATTTTACATCCAAAAACAGTAACTTACTGATTTTAGGGGTAAAATTGTATTTTTAAATAGTTAGATGTTAGGTGCACCTTCAAAAATAGTTCAGAGTGTTAAATGTATCTTAACCCTAAAAAGTATAATAAACATGTGAGTCATGAAAAAAAAATTGAATTCTTTTATCTCTTCTACCCTTTTTTAAAATTTAATAGTACGAATTAAACATTTATAAAATATTATTATAATTTTTATATAAAAATATATGAATAAATTTAAACTATAAAATTTGATTTACATAGTTCACAACCATAAACTATTATTACAGAATAGTTTTTTCCCATTTTTTTCGCTAAATAGTTCACAAACTATTTGAATTTATTTATATACTTTTATATAAAATTATAATAATACTTTTATGTAGGAATAAAAATACGTGGACGAGGAGTAAGGATAGGTTTCTGTATTTAAAAAAAAAAAAAAGGTTAGGGTAGGCTTCCATGTGGTCTAAGTTATCATAATAAATACGTCTTTCCCTTTCCATCCCCTCTCACTGTAGTAAAAAGCCAGGAGAGGGGAGCGTGGGTTTAACGCCGTTCTTTTTTTGGGGGGGGGGGGGTTTGAAGAAAAGGTGCGAAAAAACCAAAAAAAAAAGGGGGAAGAAAAGGTCAAAGTGGATAAAAAAAAGAAAGATGTCAGGTTTTAAATTATTTAAGTTAAATTAAAATATACATTTTCTGTTTAGCCTTTTAATTTTAAAAGACATATTTTTAATTATTTAACAGTAAAATTGTTAGTTTTAGATGATGATTTTTTTATATCAATTATAGTTGTTTTAACAATTAAACTTAATACGTTCACATTTAAAAATATTTTATCAACAATTAAGATCTCAACATTATTATTTTTTGTGAACAGTTGTAAGGTTAAAGGACTAAAAGTATATTTTTAAAAGTTAAAGGACTAAATTAAAATTTTGTGCAAAGTTAAAAGATAAAAAATATATTTTAGCTTTTAAGGTAATATTTAAATCCATTCAGAAATAATAGACATACACAGAAACATCCTCAAAAAGAATTGAATTAAAATATTATAAATTGGTATATGTAGATTCTTGGGAATAATAATAGGTTTGACGAAAATGGGGTAAAGCAATGGTTGCCGTTTTATGTTGGAACATTTAGAAAAAGAGGTGTGATTAGATTTTTAATGGCGAAGAAATACAGATGGCTTGCTTTGAAGCCAAGTAAAGGGATGCAGTTCTGAGTTATTGCCGCTAAAAAAGCGAGAGGTTGCTGCAACGGTTCCCACCTGCAAAGGGGAGAGTTAAAATTACCTTGGATGAGTCATTTATTAGTCTTTAACATAAAATCTAGTTAAAAATTAAATTTAGTCTTAAATATAAAATCTCAACGTGTTTCACCTTTCATCTTTTTTTAAAATATCTTTATTAATTATAAAGAGTTTGCACCAAAAGATAATTATTAAAATATCTTTATTAATTATAAAGAGTTTGCACCAAAAGATAATTTTAATTATCCAACACACGATAGAAAATGATAGTTTACAGAAATTAATATACATTTGTATAAATAATCAATTTAACTAATTTTTAATATCTTCAAATTACTTATTTACTCTTATATTATCAGTTGAAGGTAATACCTTGAATGCTATTGGTGGAGGAATAATTTGCAGAAATATTTCCAGGAAAATGATTGGCGGTTTGGGAAGGAAAATTTCGTTTATGGCCTGGCGTATGGCTCTTAAACGGTGTTTTTTTTTAACAGTTTCTAGACTTGGGGTTCGTGGCTTACTGTAGAGGTGACTGTGAAGAACTGTGCAACTTCTTGTTTGGGGGCAAATAAGAAGGAAGAATTACAGTTAAATTCCATACCTGAGCAGCATATAATGACAAATTTTAGAATAGAAAATAATCTTAGGACTTGTTTTGTAATTTTTTTCCTTATACGGGACTTCGTCGTAATTCTTCCAAACAAGAAACATGTGACTATAATGTACGGATCTAATTAGAGTGCTAAATTTGAAAATTTTAGCAAATGCTTGTGTTTTTCTTGGGAGGTGTTTGGTAGATCTAAAAAGCACTTTTGAGAAGTGTTTTTACATAAGTTAAGATAAAACTCTTTTTATATAGTTATTTCGGATGTGTTTGGATTGGCTGTGGCAAAATTGATTTTTATTTTACCTGACTTTTACAAACATAAATTATGATAAAAGTTAGTTAGTGTAATATGATTTATGTTTAAATTGACTTTTATAAAAATCAGTTTGATAAATTAAAACTTTTTTGGATGGATAATGAAAAAGTAAATTTAGATATAAAATGACAAAAAAAGACATGAGTTTTATAATATACTACCTCTAGTTCTTAATACAAGACTCAGTTAACTAATTTAGGAAGAATAATGAAATTAAATAAATTACTTTAAAGTATTTATATTTATCATTTTGCTTCAAATTCAATTTGCTTGACTTATAAACTAATATGTAATCTAATGATACACATAACTATTTTAAAAATATCACGCAATATATAATATTAAGTAATTTATTTTGCTTTTTTAATCTATTTAAATTAGTTTTTTAGGGTCTTATATTGAGAATATGTATACAAGTTAATAAATTTTAGAAAAATAATAAATTAAATTAATTAAATTTTATTATTTAATTTTTTTCATCTTAGAAAAAACATCAAATTATTAGACCAAGATAGGACCTATTTAAACACCCCTATCTTTCTTTTTCATCTTTATCCCCTCTCTCTTGATGTTACAAACACCAAAAGCACAGCTTCCCAGCAATGCACATTAATGAACATTTCCTCTAAAAGTTGATTGGGTTAAAAGCCTACCCAAACAACCTTCAATTTGATTGGGTTAAGAGCCTACCCAAACAACCTTCAATCTCCAAATAGGCTTTGCTTGCGTTTCACAAAGTTCCAGGCACACTTGATTCTTGAAACGGCAATTCAAAAATGTGTTTCATATACTACATTTTTAAGACTATCACGTAGTTTCTACTTAAACATTTTTTAGTGGGTTAAGGCACCAGGACTGCAAATTTTCTGGCAGCTTTTGATGTGAAGGGGATGTGTGGTGAGGGATGGCTCACTAAAGCACCATTTTCTATATGTGATATCT